TCCCGAGTTCCGGATTCACAGTTTACGTATGCAAAGACATGTAGACATTATATAAATGTACCAAAAAAGGTAATCTTTCAAGTTAAAGGTTACAATAGATTCATGAATTCATAACTATCGAATGTCATAAGTATTTCTACTTATGAATACAATTGGCAAGTCTCTCAGTAGGTATAACTATTTGCATGAAGGTTGATGTGTTTTTTTTCCAGGAGTCTCCGGAACTGGCGTGTATATATGAAACACGTTATGAATGCGAATGGAGTAAGAGCTGTGTGTGTTAATAGAAACTAATAGGACTTGGATGTCCCTATCTACCGCGTAAGGGACTTGGAATAGAATAGACATAATGTTATTCAAATGAACTTAATTTTAAGCGTATTTCGAATGCAGTTTCAGTCACGAAGAATAGGTAGAAAACTTGCCTGTTGGTAAGTTTTAGGTCAAAATGTGTGTTGATAGACAGTTATTCAGTTAGAAATTTGTTAGAACGAGCTAATTGATTGACTTACTAACTGTATTTTGCTCTGTACGTATATTCGTCATATAGATACTGAAAATTATAATTGTTCATTCTATCTAAGTATTCTTTTATTAGAATAGTAGATGGTATATAAATAACCTATAACCTTCCTTGTTTTTTAAATATATTTTTAAGTAATTCAATTCTGAACAAATTATGATTATCTTTGACTTCAGGCCAAATGTTTTGCTCCTATATTAAGCAATACAGTAGGTAACCTATTAAAAACAGAAGTTTCTTATTAATTACATCGAGATAAATGTTTTGTTCGTCAATTGAATTTTGCGACATTTATTTCTGTCTACATCCCCAAAACATCATCTGCCATTTTGTCATTAATATAAGGCTTAATTGAAACCGGTGAATGGACTGGTTTAACATTATATCTCTCATCAAAACAGAGTAACCGGAATACGAGACTAACACGTCACAATCTCTACATAAGACGGACGTACCTAACTTGTTTCTACCGTGCAGTGTTACCAGATGACCGTCTTGTTTTTCCTACAAATTTTGTCTAAAATGCTCACAAAATATTATAACTAGCAAGAAATATTACCCCCATAACGAAAATCTGTATTTTCGCAGTCTGTATTGAATGTCTCGTTCTTTGCTTTATCATGCCAAAATACTAATAAGTTTAATTTATTCCCTTCAAAAATTACTCTTTCCTAAATTTGGGGCCCATCGTCGCAAAATTCTCCCAAATTTGAGGGAAAATACCCCAATATGGCATCACTGGCACCTCATTATAATTCGCGAGTGGTCGTCGGATCACCAATAACTAGTGTCAGTTGGACTGTATGTGTCAATGAACTAATTGGCAAACAAAGAAACAATATTCGGTACTCCGGATCGTCGCAATTGCAATATGCATCGTATCGTACTTTACAAATGGTGTTACAGACAAACTATTTTTTTACGTCTTTTAATTTATTTAATTTTTATTTTAGTCACTTATTATGCAAGTAAATATCGTATATTTAACGTTCTACATTAATCTTATAATTGATACCTATTTTGGTTACATTATTTGTAATTCTTGAGATATCTAGAACAATATCTGACAAACAAGGTTTGATATAGAATACCTACTTTTATAATCTGTAAATCTTCTATGACTAAACTAAGCAATGCCAATTAATAACAACCTTATTTTATTCGTAACAATTTAAATTTATATTAAGTACTACCTTTACAAAATATCTTTGCAGTAACTATTGATTCCACTGTTAAAAAATTTAACACTTATCTGATGATGCAACTTGAAAGAATTTCCACCTTTATCTAAATAGATAACATTTTCTTTAAGCATGAGATTGTCAAGATAAGAGATTCTATTCTTGTTATGTTCATTCTCGTACTTTCGTAACAAGGAGTTGAGGGGGGGAGGGGGGGAGGTAATTAGTTATGGGGACTATCCTAGCCATCTGTCAGGTCGACCCCCGCGCGGTCCTCCCGAAAACCATTATGACGAGTTCGCCACATTTGATCGACACGACTTCATGCTCATCTCATGACGTCATCTTCCATATTTTCAATGACGAGAATAGTGCACCTGGCTGCGTCAATGTCATGCGCTGGCGGATGCACCATTCCATATTCATTTGTTTAAAAAACAAGCACTGGTAACATATTGACCTAATTTATTAAAGTGTATAATGCATAAAAATTTCTATTTTACAAACTAGTCGGCAATTTTTCAATTTTAAACAACGTTTGAAACGTAATATAAACAATACATATAAACACGGTAAGTTTATCCTATACTTTGTGCTAAATTATTATTAACGAAGTCTGTGGAAATTTCTAATCTAAAAATAGTCAATAGATAGAATCGAGTAGATTCTCTACCTTCTAGCCACCAGATTTATAATGCTTTCTGGAGTTAATGAAGCAAATATTTTGATAATAAAATGCCATTGTTGATACTGTTTCTTGCAATTAAGTGTTTTTATTGATTTTCCATTCTGAATCTAGTTTTAAAACTACGTAAACTGCCATGTTTAGGACTTGGTAGAATTCTATAAGGGCAATTTCTTTGGCAGTTACATTATCAGATGTAGATATGTACTTACTGTTATTTATTACTATTAATTTATGGAAGGACATTATTTTCTTTAAAAAAATAACACTTCAACAGTTCTCCTTGCAGTACAAGTTTTTTTAAATGCTTACGATTATAAATACAAATATATGAAATCAATACCTACGTATATCCGTTCATATATTATATTAGAAAGGTTGATTACAATACATGTTATACATTATTATATTTTGCAATCAAAGCGTTCTTCATTTACATAATAAATACGCGTATTAAATTACTTATGTATATTAAGTATAAAATTACTCACATGTAGATAAAAATATATTTCAACATTCAAAGACATGAGGAACTTACTTATCCAATTAATAAAAAAAAGAGTAACGTAAATCTAAAGAAATTGCTCTAATTTAGAATAGAAAAGAAGCAATCTGTATTCAAATAAAATATTCTTTAAGCTCTAATAAAGCTCTTTTTGAATAGTCATATTTTAATTCTGCAGTCACATTCAGAATGCAAAAGCTGAAAATAATTGGTAAAACTCGGTTGATGTTTTGTTTAAATAAAAATTGTATACCGACTAAACTTAATATTTTTTATTTCAATATTATTCAAAAAAACTAAAAAGAGTAAAACAATAGAAACCATGTTATTAGACATAGGTACAGTTATATTCAATAATATTTATTTTTTATTATGTAAACATAGTACAAATCAATTACGACATTAAAATACATGATTTAAAATTTGGCAGACACGTGTAAATATTATTATAGGCTGTAGTTAGTCATAAAATGATGTCAGTGTAATTATGCCAATACTTTATATTACGCAGTCCATTCTTTAGCTCGTGAAACTTTGAGGTTCAGATTGCCCGACCTCTGTTTTTCAATCCATTTGTTCAAAAACACGTGCTGTTGAAAACTTATTGTAACTAATAAATTTTCATCAGAAATCGTTATGCAACGTTTCATTCCTATTTAACTTTTTTAATGTCTATTATTTATCAAATAACTACTTAAAATAAGAAGTATTCAAGTCAATTTATTTTATCGTATTTTACTTGAAATGAGTTCAATTTTATTGTTAGCCTAGGCTATAATTATAATATTTTTTTCGGGCTGTTGTTTGTGGAACAAAACCCACTTGTCAAATATACATACATGTATATATATAAATGCAATATCTTATGACTATCTCTATAGCAACCATGGGACAAGCAGAGCATAATCTTTTCTTATTGTTCACTGCGTTATATGAGTAGATACAATTAGTAGCTCCTGAAGAAAAGTACATGTTTCCATCTTTATCTGTCAATGGCAGTGGTTTATTAAGTAGACAGCTACCAGTAATTTTAGCCATGTTTTTCTGATCGATAATTGCTTGTAAATTCCCACATGAAAATAAACAATGCAAATATAGCCATCGTGCGAACAATACAATAAATACATCGCTTACAGCTGTAAGTCTTTTTTAAAAGAAAAAATTGTCTAATATTACCTCAGTTTGTAATTATTACAGTAAATCGACTATTTATACATCTTCACTCGGCTTTCTTTTTTTTTTCAAATAAATATTATTATAACCACAGATAAGATTATATCTAAACTACAGGTAGAAGGAATATTTTGTAGTAGGAAGGAATTTCTTAGTTACAAAATTTGAATTATTTCAACAATTAATAATTTGAGTTTAATAATAATCTATTCATTCAATCCTTGTAATTTATCCCACATCTATACATCACATTTTATATATGTTTTCACTTCATCAATCGATCGATCTATTCTAAAACAATATTTATTTAAAAAAAAATAACTTACGTATTCTGATAAATTGCAGAAGAGTGTTACGATAATAAACAACTACATGCCTAATTTATAATTCGCAGTGTTTACTTATTTTTAATTAGTTAATTACATTCACGACAGTATTGTCAACATTTTTAATTAATTAATTAAGTCTATCGCACCCTTGGACATCTGGCGCCAATTTTTAATAAGCCAAATGATCTCATTCTACTTTAATGACAATAATATGTAACCAAATTAATAAGAGTATTTTACTGCCGTAATTTTTTGTGAGACGAATCTAATTTGAATTCCTAAAATGAACAAGTTTTAATACATAAAAAAATACCTTTATTTTTAAATATATGGACGTGTGACTAATGTATTCTAGATATAAATTTATAATCAGTCTATCAGACATTGCTTCATCAATGAGATCACAAACAGGTGATGTTGTAATAAATAATTTATTGATATTTCCTGCTCCTATATTGCAATCAAAGTGCGCATCTATTTTACGATATGCAATAAGACTAGTTACACGCCAGGCTTCTTTTACCTTTCAAATTTTACAAAGCCTTAAATACGAGCTTTAAGCTGTCACCAAAAACAAAATAAATATAAAACAATCAATACTTACGATTACAAAAAATCCAAAGATGGAAATGGTAAAAGATAAAAACACAACACAGTTTTTTTTAATATAAAAAAATGGAACTGTTTTAACCGGCACTGATTTAGCACGAGAGAACGTAACTCGACTAATGTTCAAGGAGGACTGAGGTTCGGTTCGGTCGCCCTCTCCAGTGAGGGAAGCGGGGCTAAGCGCTTCTCTACTATAAGTTTTGTTACGTTCGTTATTCACTTATTTTGCACATCCATTGCTCGCTTATCCAAAATCCATACTATAATATACATAAATGGGCAAGTGTGTCTATTTTGTTACATTTTCTCGACTAAGTAACTAAACGCATATTAATGTATGAAAATAGATTGTATCAGAAAGATAAACAAAGGCTACCTATTACTTCAAAAATTGCAGGCGAAGTCGGGAATAAGACTTAATAATTAAGATGATTAAGATACAGATAGATATTCCATCTAACTAACTGACCTCATATGTATGTATATAATTTTTAATAGTTTTAAATAATTAAAGCTAAACTTTTACATCAAATTTTCTTCTGTACTTTGTGTTTTCACTCCCTCTCTTTTATCAGAAGAATATTTCTATTGAATATCGTCAGCCCGCATTGGAATGCGCACTTATACGGATCAACAGCTGTCCGTAATACATTACTCATTAGTGGTAGCGGGTACAGTGAGGTCGCCGACACGTCTGTTTCGGCTTATATTCGAGTCAAGCGACCGGGATCCGCTTCTCTTGCATCTCGAATACTTTTCCCGATCACTTTCAGGGGCGTGATTTGATATCGATGCGTTTTCTCGTCTGCAACGCTATCGATTTTATACCGATAATTAAATCCATCGTAGGGGCACCCAAACGTGTATAAACCCATATTTAATACTTTGTCATGGTAACAGGACTTATAATTCCAAATAGTTTTGGTTTATAGACTTTGAATAGATTAAATTGTTCTTAGGAATATATACATGATTCCATATTCATCTATATTTTGCTCAAATTTAGATCAATATTAATGTTATACTTATGAAAACAACAATTAATAATTAATATTAATCATAATGGTTTTAATAGACAAAGATATTAATAGAATGATATTGAGAACCTAGAGATGAATTACGCCTAAGAGGAATAAAGTTCAATTCAACTTAAATTTAAAAAAACTATATATAAATTTATATTTCTGACTGACTCTCCGGTGAAGGAAATACAACAGGTAGTACTTATATATATATATATATATATATATATATATATATATATTATAATATGTGGGGTAATATAATGGGGTAATACATTATGGCGCACGCAGAAAATATTTTCAAGGGGTGTGTAGACATTAGATTAGCATATATATTACCATGTAGGTAACGGATAAACATTTTTTAAATTGATTTTCTTCAATAATTCTTTATTTTATTAGAACATTCTTTATTCAAATAAAGTTTAGGTTCTTAGTTGTACAATTAAATTACCTATGTAAATAAATTTAATTACAATAAAGTTATATTTAAATACTACAATAATCAGACTTATTGTACGCCTCCTTCGGAAATATTTATCACCACAAGAAAAATGTGTTATAATACTGCCATTTTGAAACAATGTATTGTGTTTTACACAATTTAGATATACTGGGATAGAATGTACAAAGTCTACCTTAGTACTGGGGAACTCCTGTTCCTCTATTTCGTCGCCAAGCAGCTTGCTTTGTAACATGTTTCCGTAGGATAGTCAGATAAGGCAGTGCAATTACAGGATAAGGAGGTATGGAGGGATGAAATCTTAGTCCGAAATGGCAGCGCTTGAGTTGAGCTTGGGGCACAACGTCACATGATAACGTGATGTCCTTAGTGCTGTTCATGTATATGTGACGGTTATGGTGACGGTTACCACTTACCATCAGGTGGACAGTCAGTTCATTTACCATTCCAATTATATAAAAAAATACAGCCATTTTGAATCAAGAACGGCCGATTAACAGATTTCCGTCGTCAGTGCCGTGATCACAGATATAATTTATATTTTTATTTTATTAGATCATTAGTAACATGAATTAAATAAATAAAATAAAGTATCGTTAATCATGATTGTCAAAAAACAGAGATTACCTACTATTAAACTAATACAATTTAACTTGGAAAGTAATTTTAATTTAAAATAATATTTTTTTATAATATACCAAATTATCCATAAACAAGTTCAGATTAGTGCTACAGGAAAATCCGTCTATTTCGCACAAGTTCACGTATTCAAATTTAAATTAACTTTGATTGGTGAAGCATAGACTAAAGATTAATTTATTACAAGAACCGAATTATTTACATTAATAATTGCAAAATTTTGAACTTACTTGATAATATATTATTTTAATGCAATTATGTTTTACACAACAAGAAGTAAATTAAGAAGTAATAATAGTGTTTTTATTAATAATATTTCAGGCTTACTTCAGTAGGTAGGTATACTTAAATACAACAAACTACCCAATGGGTACCTAAAATTAAACTTTTGTTTTTGATGTTTTTTCTCAAACTGTGTTAGCAAAAGCTTAGCTTATGCTTATAGAAACCGTATTTACCGTTTACGTATTTTAAATATTTCACTTTAAGATTTTCGGAGTCAAATAAATATATGAGTCGACTTCTTAAATATACATAAATACATAAAGACCTTCTTTCAAAGAATAAGAAACAATCAAGGAATAATAGATATTAATATTTATTTAATGATATTAATAAACTACCGTCCTAAGTCAGGTGAGAATCATCACCCGTATTTTGACACCAAACTCCGCCAAACAAAACGTCATTGTAAATTAGAGCAAAGAACAGCAACACCTCCACATCAAACTGTGCCCCAAACAAAAGACCATAGACTGAGGACGTGATGAACAATACAGTTTAAATTGAGAATGTCTATGATTGTTTTTCGTCTACGTGATTTGGGCCCCCGTTACACCATTCAAACTTGACATCAGAATGGCGCCGTTTTGTTCACCGTCCACTGCAACAAGACCTACCCGCTTGATGTTGGAATATTAAATCAAAGCTCAAGGACATTTAGCCATAAATTGAATACATAAACGTGGGTTTGACATAGAGACGATGGTGGCTTTATCTTATCAACTGAATGGAAAACAACGAGCAACAACGTCACGTATTTCCAGAACATTCGTTAACAATTGTTCTAGGTATTTGTAGTGACAACTAGGTTAAATCTAAAATTAAAACCACATAAATATCAATTAAGTAATACAGCTGGAATTAAAACTGTACACCCTATTTAAAAATGCTAACCGTCTTACTTATGCCTTCCTTTTTCTAAGTATACAAAAATAAGGTACACAATAATTTTATAATACTAGGAGTACCTACTGACCTACCTGCTGAGTAACTTTAAACACATACGCTTTGAAAATTGCATGCATTTCGATATTCCTATGTTTCTAACATATTCTGTTATCTCTGCCTACCCTGCAGGGATCTGACTACAAAATAATGAAACTGATTATAATAGATATCTTGAACACGCAAAGGCTTATCTACATAGTAAAGACTAATGTATGGATATATTTTAATGTACTGCATATGGTTCAATTTTCAATATTTTTTTTGTAATCATGAATAATGAAATTTCTGATTAATTATTTACGTATGTTGCATAATAATTTCCTCACTTCCTTGCTTATATTATAAATGCGAAAATAACTGTTTGTCTGTCACGCCGAAACTACTGAACTGATTTAAATGAAATTTGGTCTACATATAGTCTAGACGCTGATAAGGTTGAAAGACGAGATGAAGGGATCGTCATTTTACGCCGACGAAGTTGCGGTTACAGCTAGTGTAATATAAAGAAGGATGTAAATAATATATAATAATATGTAAATTGGCATGTCTATCAATGTATAACAGCGTTGTATAACATGTGCAGTAGGTACATTTTTATTACCCATCGTTTCTATTCGATTACAATGGGCCATGGGTATCCCTTGTTGAAAATCGTTCTAATCAATAAAATTACTGAACAGGGGAGTGCGGGCCCTTAATTGACGGTAACCCTAACTTGATTACGATTGACTGATGCCCCTTCATGGTCTGGAATATAAAATTTTTGTTAGCTGCTTTTTGTAAATAAACAGACACAAAGGCAGGCACACATAATGCCATATATTTTATGGCGTTCTGTTCGTAAAATTTTAATGGATATTTGACATCGCTAACAAAGTAAACTAAATCGATTTTCAAAATGCTTTGATTTAACATAAACATTAATACAAAGAATACATTCACAGTTCATGAGTAACCTTAAATAAATTTATAAATGTCAAAGGGTTATAAAATTTGATAAAATTTAAAATAATGCTACTAAAATACAATGAGGAAAGATTTTACATTATGTTAGTAATAGGAACCCAAATTAAATATTATGTAGTATAAGTGAATAAAATTTTTAAAACCAATATTTAAGTATTATTAGTTTTTAAAAATTTTTCACTTATTTCAGACTAGTGCGAAATATGCAGCAAATTTTAATTAAATAAAGAAAATAGAGTACACAGCAATAATAACGTGTAAATAAAAAGAGATTTTTTTATAAAGAATAGCTTACTAAAAATATATACAAATATTTTTAGTAAGCTATTCATTAATTCTCGTTTACTTACGCAACCATTATTCTATTCGTAGACATATCTCTTGTCACCGGATATCTCGGGCGAACCCGGGTGGAATTCATACAAATGTTGACATTTTGCGTTATCACCCTACATTAGTAAAACCATGACCATTTTCAACTTACAAAACTGTTGACATTGCATTCTAACTCGTATTACAGACGCAAAGGGTTCATATCTAATTTTAAGCAGTGTAAAAAATAAAAGGACAGAATGCAAGGGATGGCTAAGAAAACAAAGCTGGTTGGAGTGTGTCCCTCCCTCAATAAAATAGCTGAGGCAAAAATAAACTCGTAAATTCATTTACTGATAAAATTCCTTCTGAGAATACAAATTTTTTTAAGGACGCGTTGTTTATTATACCATTATAGGTTATACCTAAATATAAATGCATTACCGTATTCAATTGCATTACTAAAAATACTTCATGAACTACCGGTAAATTCTTGTTCAAATTTTAATTGAACCACATTAAAAGCACCAGAAATTTAGAAAAATGTTCTGAAATGAATTTATATTAAAAAAAATACGGCCGATTTGAGAATTGGACCCTATCCTTTTGAAGTCAAACCAACAAGAAGTGACAATCAACACACACAAACATAGTTACATGAATGTTTGATATCAGTACGTAATATAAGTGCCTATTTAATATTCAAGCGTCATTAATTAATATAATATAATATAATATAACTTTGCTATTAGGTATTATGTATCATATTACATATTAATTTTGGAATTACCATATACGGATTGCGGACATACGCGATCAGAAGATAAGAAAGGCATCCATTTTAGCGCATTATCGAAAACAAATGGTTCGCATAATTTGCATATTTCGGTGTGTTTCGCGTGAAACATACCGAAACGAATGTTTTCTTTGAAATATTATAAAACGTTTGGACAACAACGATCAGCGTCATTTGCTCAAAAGTAATCGAAAATTAACAGCAATGTCCAGTGTCAAAGTTATATTTGGTTTTACGCTCGTGATACTTGTAAGATTTTGTTTTATTCATTTGTTTTAATGATAATAATAATAATACCTCTGGACAATTCACACGTCATCTAGTCCCACTGTATCTGGTCCCAGTATGCTTACATTGAGCTTATAGAGCTTGTGTTATGTGTGTTAGACAACTGATTGATACTTAGATATTTTTTATTAACACCCAGACCTATACTGCTTGTATCATACTCATGAATACAAATATTTGTATCGAACCCGCGACCATCGGAAGAAAAGCGGTGCGCTAAACCGCTAGACCACCAAGGTGTTTTATGTGAATGGAGTGACAAACAAGTTGATGGCAACCTGATGGAAAGTGGTAACCGTAGTCTATAGATATGTAATATTATGTTATCTCTGCTATAGATATTAACAGCACCATGGATATCTCACCATCACGTGATATCTGTGGTACTTCTAATGCGTTACCATATCTGAGAATTAACCTTTTTTTTTCAATGAATGACAATTGAACGGTCCTTACGCATGCGCTAACGGGTTATGCTGGCGAGTCACCAGTATGATAAGATGTACTTTAGGTCAGGTCGTTAGCCCATCGCGACAAATTTACCAGGATTTTATCACGATGGTTTCGAGGGAGAACAGTCAATCTGACAAAGTTGACAAGTTCATATTACTAACAATCACTTTTCCACCAGGAATAAAGTATCTTGCGATCGTCTCCTGTAATTTCACTGCTAATCACTGGCACATAACTTTTATTACATATACTAACTTAATAGTAAAAATAAGTTAACTAGGTACTACTTATAATAGTAGCTACTTAGGTATTGTTTTAATACGTTACTCAAAAGACGAATATGCTTACGCCCCACTACGTAGAGAGTACCTACCAATCCTTGAATATCTATACATTAACAGCACATCACGTCGTAATGTGATGAACGAGATATGGCTCCTGCATTGCCATTCTTGAAGACTAGGGTGTCATACCTTCACTCCCTGTCATTTTGCTGTTCTTTAAACAGAAACATAGCTTGTAGGCGAGAGACAGAACGTACAGTCTATCGCGATAAAGGTAAACCGATGCCTTTTTTTTCATATCCTAATTAATAATTAATAGTAAGTGTACTTTATAAATATCATAAAACAAAGTCTCCAACTGCGTTTATCTGTATATTCCCAATAATCTCAATAATTGCCAACAGGATTTTCTATGATTTCTGCTATGCAGTTGAAAACTGAATGATTTCTGAGAAAGAAAGGTGTATGTATAATTCTATAGAGTTTTGTATGAATTAATTGAAATATTTATGCAAAACCGGGGATGGTCCGGGATAACTATATGAGTTTTGAACTATATTCAGTAAATACCTCCAAATATCTTAATTACAACGAGAGATCAGACTATTACTTTACTAATTAAATTAATGATAATAAAAAATAATAAATAGGTAAATCGTAGTAGAAACTCTATACCTACTATACTTCTTGTTATTACTATATATATATATATATTTGAATTTAGAAAAATTTTATAATAAAATTTTAATATGATTCTTTACTCAGGGATGGTGCTTCATTCCAGGGACCAAAGGTAAGTGTATCAAAATAATAATACAGGTAGATGTGCTACTACAGAATTCTCAATAGCTTTGAAATATTAATAACAAGAAATACTAACAGTTACCCGTAATTTCCTCTGCTATTTTGGGATAAAATTGTAGTCTATTTCCATGCTCGTATACACTCTTATCTCCATATCTATTTTCATTATGATCTGTTCAGCCGGTTAGTAGAGAAATTCTAACAAGACATACTTTCGCAATTATATTTGTATTGACGTATGTATTATACCAGTATCCTACACACAATATGAAGCAGTGCATAAAGCTGCTTAAAATTTTCAAGTTTTCGGGATCTTTGCACACCCATAATGTCTGCATATCTTTCATTTACTATGAAATATGATCGATCTAAATTATGAAAAACGATACCAAAAGAATTACATCGATACCGATTACTGAAACAGTGTTTAAAAGTATTATGAAGTAATATTTTGGTGGGAATTATTACATAATATAAAACAAAGTCCCGGTCGCTGTCTGTACGTCCTTATATATATCTTTAAAACTACGCAACGGATTTTGAAGCGGTTTTTTTTAATAGATAGAGTGATTCTGGAGGAAGGTTTATATTTTTTTTATATATTTATTTATTTCAGGCTACTAGGCCCATATTATAAATACCTTATAGACTAACATACATATGAAATGATATAAAATTAAAGATATTATATGTATAATACACGTACACTCGGGCGAAGCCGGGTCGAGTAGCTGGTACTGTATAAATTAAAAAAACATTACAACATGGATATTCTTATCCTGGTTTCTGCAGAACAGGCTCAGTCTAGGGTAGGTGTCAATTGCAATTCTAAGTATACAATATTATGCTATAACAATATAAAATAGTTATATTTCTCCAGCGGTTTCGCGTGCGGTGTACGATGATGATGGACACGCCCCGGGTGGTCACCAGTTCGGTGATGGATACATCTTTCAAACACCACCCCCGGTTGATAGTCGACTGCCTGCAGAAGGCAGCTTAAATTCATTGAAGAAGTTACATGCCGGAGAACGAAAGGCGTTCAAGGATTTCCTGAGACGTAAGTAGATTATAACATCAATAGTTATTTTCCGATGTATTATTGATGAAATATTTGACTATTTCGAGTTCTACATTTATTTCGAATCACCAACGTCAAGCTAATGCTAATAATTTTCTACATATTTTAATATTCTTCTGAAACATAGACCTGCAAATCGCATATAAAATGGCCCAAAATGTTAGGAATTTCATGGATGAAGTGCCGCACTATATTGGAACAACTAGGTATTCGAAACCGTCTCTCTACTGTGTGCTTATAGAATTTGCTAACTTTGTTTGGTGACGTGGTCCGCCGGGTACAGGATAATTTGAAAAAATGTATAGGGTAGGCCACTTGGACGGAAGAAGGGGCTAAAGTAGAGCACCCGCATGATGGACTGATTTCGTTCGAGATGGCGTCTCCGATCTACTTCACACAGGAAGAAGCTTTTCTGTTGGTCACGACCTTGAAGAATCAACAAAGAAGATTCAGAAATATCATTTCGCACTCACTTCAATGACCAAATCATATTCGTGGAATTGCAACCTCTGATTTGGCCTTGACTGTGAAGCAAACAACAAACTACGTCACCGACTTTGGTTATTAACTCTCATGTACAGCGGACTAAGGCTAACGCGGGCCCTAGGCAATAAAATAGTAGTAATTCCCGTCCTATTTTTCAGTCATGACACATACTTTGCGTTTGGTAGTTTTAAATATTACTGACCCTAGACACGTGCCTAGCTTGCCTAGGTCTTAGTCCGACCCTGCTCATCAATATCAAAACTATTACCATACCTATCAGAATCCCTATTTCCTTATTTCAATATTACAATACTATAACAAAAAATCCAAATCTATATTACAAGTCAGCACAGACAACTATAGAACCAATTTAAATGAAATTTGGTACACATATAGTCTAGAACCTGACAAACATAGGCTACTTTTTAATCCGAAAAAAGGGTTGTAAGGGGTCGTAATGGGAGATGAAAGATTACGTGTAAGTATCGACGATTTACGCGGACAAAGTCGCGGGCACATCTAGTACAAATATAATTAAAAACTTGTAAAAATTCAAAATATTTTTGAATGATATTTCATTATACCTAAAGTAAGACATGAAGGGGAATATTGAAGTAAATTGGTCCTGACTAACGGAATACTGAACAAAACGGAATGACGGTAATAACTGTTTGGAACCCACAGCTGGATTAATTCTAATCTGTTGCATGAATATTATTGAATATGTCTAATTATGTGGGTGGATCGATAATAAAACAGTTTTTATAAAGCTATCTCGTTGTTTACATCATGGTGACAGCGGTGCGTGTAATAAATAGATTTAAATTGTAATTGTACGGTAATTGTGGTGGAAATTAAATTAAATAGGTCCACAATTAGTTATAAAACAAGTTATAAAATGGAACACGCGCGACCGCCGGCGGAATTGTGTTTGGAAGGAGGTCCATCTAATCGGGCTGATACGTGGCGCAAGTGGTTACGTCAGTTTCGAGTTTTCTTGAAAGCATCAGGAGTTCATAAAGAGGCCAGTGATGTACAAGCTAGTTTGTTAATTAATTTAGTGGGATCAGAGGGATATGATATTTACACTACATTCAAGTTTAATTCCGAGGATGAGAAAGAAAATATAGAAAAAGTAATCGAAAAATTTGATAATCATTTTGGGACAAAAACGAATACGACTATGGTGCGGTTTAAATTCTTCACAAGATGTCAAGAAGTCGGTGAGAGTATCGACGATTACGTCACTGCACTCAAACTACTAAGCCAGCGCTGCGAGTTTGAACAACTAGAGGATAGCTTACTGCGGGATCGAATCGTGTGCGGTATCATAGATATTCCAGTACGAGATCGGTTGCTACGCACAGATGACTTAACACTAGAAAAAGCAATAAAAATTTGTCAAGCCAATGAAATGTCTAACGACGGCGAGAAACAGATCGAGGGGATAAAAAATGAAACCCTAAAATGTTCATCAGTGAGCAGCACTCGAAGAGGGCGACCGGATATGCGTCGCGGAACGAGGGACGCGAGTCGCAGGCACTCGCCCCGCCGCTGGCGCGCCGCGGCGGGCGACGGCCGCGGCCGAGCCGCCGCCGGAGCGAGCGGCGGGCCGGCTGCGTGGACAGCGCCGGCCGCGAGGTCCTGCGACGCTTGCGGCTCCACTCACTGTGACGGAAGTGATCGTTGTGTGGCGCGTAAAGTGAAGTGCTTCATATGTGGTGGCAAGGGTCATTACAAAGTTATGTGTCCGACGCGTAGGTATAAAAAAGTGTATGAACTCAGTGATAATCCTTCGGATTACAGTGGCAGTGAAAATGACTTGTATTATATTTCGTCTGTTGAAAGCATCGACGCAATAGTACAAAGCGAGGATTCCAAATGGTATGAAACTCTTTATTTATCCCAGACTGGCAGTGGACATCGTTTTAAACTAGATACCGGGTCCGACTTAAATTTGTTATCAAGAAATAACTATTCTAAATTAGGTTTGTCTTTGTCAAATATTCTACCTGACAATACGCGTGCCAGGTCGGTTTGTGGTAGTTACTTATCTATAATGGGTTGTTGCACAATTGATTGGGTATATAAAGGTACTGAACACAAATTGAAATTTATAATATCGGACCAAACGTGTCAAAGTATTTTGGGAAAACATGCTGTAGAAAAAATAGGTTTAATTAAAAGAGTATATTCTTTAGACATAAATAAATATTATGAGTTGTTTCATGGATTAGGTAAATTGCCTGGTACGTATTCTATTCCAATTGAGAGTGATGCGAACCCTTGCATTTGCCCTGTTAGAAAAATACCACTAGGAGTGAGAGACCAACTTAGAGAGGAATTGGATCGCATGGAAAATTTGGGTGTAATACGGAAGGTATACCATCCCACTTCGTGGGTTAATGGTATAGTCATAGCAGCAAAAAAAGATGGCAGCATCAGGGTGTGCCTTGACCCGCGACCTCTAAATCGTGTCATAAAACGACAACATTATCCTTTACCCACCCTCACTGAAATAGCCACCAAGTTAAATGGTGCGCGGTATTTCAGTAAATTGGATGCTAAATCGGGGTTCTGGATGATTCAACTAGATGACAGTAGCGCTGACTTGTGCACATTCGGTACACCGTTCGGCAGGTATCAGTATATGCGTCTGCCGTATGGTATAAATTCTGCGTCTGAAATATTTCACGCCAGAGTGCGGCAGCTGCTGGAAGACCTAATCGGTGTAGATTCATTTATTGATGACGTCATACACCACTAAAGAGGAACATGACAGTCGTCTAGAATGTCTTCTTGAAAGAGCAAGGAAAGTGGGAATAAAATTTAATTCCGAAAAGTGTGAATTTTGTGTCAATGAGGTAACGTACCTGGGACATACCTTTAATGCACAGGGGATGAAAATAGATGCATCAAAATTGAAAGCGATCATGGATATGCCGAATCCATCGGATCGTCAGGCATTGGAGAGATTTTTAGGCATGGTTAATTATGTCAGTATTTATATTATTCTGAAAAGGTTACTTCCTTACGGAATTTGTTAAAAAAGGATATAGAATGGAGTTGGGGCCCGTGCGAAGATCAAGTAGTGAATGAATTAAAACGCGCTCTGTGCAGCGCGCCCGTTCTGGCGCTATACGAGCCGCGCGAGCCGGCCGTGCTGTCTGTTGACGCGAGCGCGCGAGCGCTCGGCGCCGTGCTGTTGCAGGCCGGCCGGCCCGTCGAGTTCGCCTCCATGACGCTCACTGACACTCAGCAAAGGTATGCTCAAATAGAAAAAGAGATGCTGGCTATTGTCTTCGCCCTAGAAAGATTCCATCAGTACATTTTTGGAAAGAGCGATATCACCGTCGAGACTGATCACAAACCACTGGAGGCCCTTTTTAAAAAACCTTTGGAATCGGTACCTGCCAGATTGCAACGTATGATGCTCAAGTTCAAAGATACGATTTTCAAGTGCAGTATAAGCCAGGTAAATACATGTTCGTAGCGGACACTTTATCCAGGGCTCCTTTACCGGATTTGCTGCATGACAAAATAACCGAAGAAATAGAAGAACAGACGTGCTTTCTGGTGGAAAATCTCAGATTTAGCAGTGATAGATTAAATTCGCTTAAAGTACACACAGAAAAAGACCAGGAGTGTCAAATTTTAATAAATTATATAATGAATGGGTGGCCCCGAAATAAATATGATATGAAGGAATGCACACGCATTCATTGGAGCTACAGGGAGGCATTCGAATATGTGAACGGAGTGCTCCTAGTAAATAATTTAATTTTCGTACCCAAAGCGCTCCGTTCAGAGATGATAAACAGAGTTCACGAAGGTCATCTCGGTATCGACAGGTGCAAGCGGCGGGCGCGGGACGTGATGTTCTGGGCGGGGATGTCGCGCGACGTGGAGCGCGGCGTGCGCGGCTGCCGGGTGTGCGCGGAGCATTTCATTTGATAAACCATCCCGAGTCTGCCGTGGGCTAAAGTCGGCTCCGACATATTTGAAGTCAATAAAAAGTACTATCTAGTTCTTGTAGACTACTTCTCCAATTTTGTAGAACTGTGTCCCCTGTCCAATATCACTTCGAAACAAGTAATATTAGCAATGAGGGATCAATTCGCCCGACATGGCATACCCCAGGAATTGTTTTCCGATAATGGCCCAGCATATGCATCAAAAGAGTTTAAAGCGTTTGCGACAAAATGGGGATTTACGCACACAACCTCATCACCAAATTACCCTCAGTCCAATGGCCGCAGTGAACGTGCAGTACGCACTCTGAAAACATTATTACTAAAGTCGAGTTCCACCAAGGAAGACTTCTACTTAAGCTTACTCAACTACAGAACTGCTCCAAGAGATGGTGTCTCCAGTCCCGCCCAGCTCCTTATGGGCAGAAGGTTGAATACGCGACTTCCGTGTCATGATAGCAAGTTGATGCCAGAGAGAGACAATTCACATGATTATAAAAGCTTAATCCGAAACCAACGTCGCTCTAAGGAATGGTATGACATAAACACCCGAGAGCTTCCAGAGCTGGTGACCGGCGACAGGGTGGTAACTGTGGACGGTACTCGCAGGGAACGTGCACGCGTCGTCGATCGTGCATCTCAGCCACGGTCTTACTTCGTGATGGACAGGTGATTTATATATCTATATACTGTAAGTGCAAATAGTATAAATCTAAATGATCTCTATTTGTAATATATACTTATGTTATTGGGACATGTGACAGTCCCAAAAACATTGATGTTCAGAAATTTTGTCTGATTTACTTAGTCTACACGTCTGAACGATTTGGGTACGGTTTACAGTTAAGCTAATAGACGTCATTCACGAAACTGTTAAATTACGTACCCCCATTCATGATAATGTGCATGTAATCGGTACCTACTATTAATTGTATTTAGACAAAAAGTACTTCGTCCTCGAATGTATTGAACTAAAATGTTTTATTGGGACAAATGTACACCGAAGATTTCCTTCCTCTGTTTCTACTCGAGGATTTATGAGGTAAAAGTCCTATTCTGTATTTTAATTTCATTAGCGCCTTATTTTGTTGCAGTGCTCCAGGACAGTCTTTAAAAAGCGAGACCTCAAGATTCCGATAGCAATATTACCTACTAGTACAAACATGTCAGGAATTCAGTGCTTTCAGTTTAGTTTTTTGTAATTGTAACCTGTCATTAGTTTAATTGGTATGTTATTGAATCTTGTTATAAACGATCCATTATTATTTAATCTTCATACTGTTTTTGGTACAGTAGAATTCATAAATAAAAATATGTGACAGAATGGTCAATAATACTGCTGCAAAGAAATTTCAAATGTCGCAATGAGATTATTATAAAAAGTACCGACTCATCTTATTCATTTGAAAAATCTTCAATACAACTTGGTGACAAAGGTTATAAATACGTAGATAATATTGTACTTTTATTGAATAAAATTTTATTGATCATTCTGTACACTATGATTAATTAATTTAATAGTTACCCATAAATTATGGACTTGCTACAGCCAAATTATTTGATCACATAAAATTATAGAAATACCAACATTTACTGTGTATTATTTTAACAACTAAAATAAGCAAAGTTTACTTTCCTACTAATGTAAAACTATTTAATAATATAAAATATAGATATTGGAATTGCAATGAAAATCAATAATATATTTATATATTAATTTTAATCAGACTCATTTCAAAACATAAATGAGAAACATACACAATTATCGCTCCGTTCTACAACGTCAGTTGAATCTTACATGTTACAAAACTTAGGCTGCCACAACTGGCGTTGCAGAACGAATCCACGACACACAGTGTCGCAAATTAACATTTTCAAACCTGAGCGTGATTTTAGTTATGTACAAAGAAATCAGTACAGCCGGACGCCGTAACGGAGCGGCCGGACGAACAAACTTGGAATATATCGTACGGGCACCCACATATAATTAGTAGACTGGAATTGAACACAGCGTCGCACAAGACAAACCTAATATTTATCTAAAGGCTTCAACGAGAGCCTGCACGCACACGCTCGTGTACCCGACGGTACTATATTGTCTCTACACACACACGCGCAGCTTACAGCTCGTCGTGATCCTCCTGTAACAAAAGAGATTTCAAATCAGCATGGCAGAAAAACACATTCAGGTGTAACGAATACTGTATAATTGTTACATTTCAACTTGAAAGGCATGTACATATTGTTGAAATTGTTGTTTTATTTTCAATATATATTCAGAGAATACAATGAGGTATTTAAAATTAATTTGCATATACTCAAATATATTCAATACAAGTTTAAAGTTTACACTTTTAACTAAATAACATATTAAAATAATATTTAAATCTCAACTCTCAACTGTATAGGAATATCATAGAAATTTTAATAGTCAAATCTAGTCTTACATCTAATATGATAAGATCCATGGTACTTGTCAAACACCACAATTAGGAATTGTGTTAAAATTGTACGTCACATTGCCGTGACACTAGCATCAAGAGTACAAATGTTCTTAGTGAAATGTTGGCATAATAAATTTTACGTTCACCACTTCTACAGTTGATAATGGCTCTGACTACGCCATCTGTGCTTATAGTTGTAAAGTTAGGTCATATTAACATTATGTGTTTTCATCTAGGACATGACCCACCTATCTGGTATTACCAGTTACCCTTACAAGTATTTGTGTATTATAAAAAATATACAATGATAAACTTCACGAACGTTCATAAATTCTATCCCGAAAATTACATCCGTCACACGTGAACTGGTGGTGCTTGTGGAGATTGGTCCGTTCAGGTTACGGCCACTGATTAGATATTTCATTTGATAAAAATGCATATGTTGGTGGTTACTACTTTCTCACTAATTGAATTTAAAAATAAACCAATATTTTTGTAATCATGTACAATAAATTATATCATATACAAAAAAAGAATAAGAGCTGAGTTTCTTGTCAGTTCTTAGCTCAAAAGCACTCTGAACTGACGATAGATTTAGCATATTATATAAGAATCTGTAATAGATCATCTACAGTAATGGACATGAATAAAGATGCTTTGATTTGATTTAAAAGATAAAAATATAAGAACAGTGTTTTAAGACAGATTAATAAATATACTCACAATAGGTGTGGCATCACCGGCCTCGTCGTCGAGGTCTTCATCATCCTCATCATCAGGCTTCTCTGCCTTTTCCTTTTCCCTCTCTAATTCATCCTGTTGATTTTTCATCTTCTTCTCTCCTTCTTGGGTCTTCTTGATCTGCTCGCCTCGCTCTTTAGCGGCTTCAAGATCATCAGTGAATAAGAAGTTATCGAAGATGGTGCCAGATTTGACTTGCCATAAGTCAAGGCCGACCGCGCAGAGCTCATTGCGTCTGTACAGGTTAGCGTCAGATGTGTATTCAGGGTTGTCGATCTCTGGGTGGATCCACGCTCCTTTGTACGCAGGGTTGTCAATCTGAAATAATTGAATTATTTAATAAATTAACGAATCTGGATATATAAGTTATTTCTTAAACATTTATTATTAATATAGTTAAACGAGTGTTTTTTTTCAGATTCAAATACAGTTCAATTGGAATTATGTGTGGGTCTGTACTCTATGTCTCGTCTATTTCGACTGTCAAGCAACTTAATTGCAGCGTACAGAGACATAACACCAGTCATTAGGAATTATGACGTATGAGAACTACCATAGGATCACAATGCATGTTATGAGGCTTGTGTCTTTAGAAACGAAGTTTAAACTGTCCATGACCACGCGGCATCAGTCTATTTGTCATCACAGTAATCTAAAATAACACTCATCTACATGTCTTAAAAGCTTTAGATAAATATTTTACAAATTTACCACAATCAGTCTAAACTAAATTCATGTTCAATTTTTCACGTTAAAAAGTAACAAGTTGACAATATAATAAATAAAGATATGTATTCCCTGATAACAATTTAACACTTATTTCTTAATAATAAGAACGTATATCTAACTAACGAAGTCAATAAATTTATCACTATGATAACCAATAATCACAAGACCAGAATGTTTCTAAGAATATGTTATTCGTTATTATTTTTAATGATAGTTGAGTTGATAATGAACCGTACAGTATTGCTAATTTAATCGACATTGCATTTTATTAATACATAATTTAATTCCTAGTACGAACCAGCGTGGTAATGTTTCAAATTAAACATACCTATTACCTACTTGTGTTAGGGATTAACAATATTCATTAATGTTGCATAAAAATCCATGATTTGTGGAGAAGTCTATGCCATATAATTCTATAACATTGGTCTAAAATAAACAAGACTACAAATTCGTATAAATCAAGACCAAGTCTTAAATTTAAAAAAAAAACAGTACGATACTTCATTATATACATACCTAAAAGATATTTTCTTATATGGATATTTCTCATTGTATTAAAGATATATGTTTATCGATATCACTTAGTTTGTGGTAACCGTCAACCAAACAGACCGGGCGTCTACACTACTTGTGTCATTGACTCGTTTTTATTACCACCTATGTTTAACTGTTACGGAGGTGAATAAACTTCAGATCCCAGTCTCGATTTGTCGTACGAATTAGCACTATACACGACTGTGACGTCACAAGGTTTTGTTTGGATTTTTTATTTCCTATTCTTATTGTGTTTAGTTTATCTAGATAAATATCACGAATGCGAAAGTGTTAGTTACACTTTCGCGCATAAATCGCCGAATATATTACGATGAATTTTTACATAGAAATAGATGGGACCCTGTAAGCTACTTTTTGTCCTGAAAATAAAACTTGAACTAGAAAGGTGAAATAGGGACTGAAAATTTTTATGGTAAATGAATAATATCTCAAGTAAGGGCAATAAACTCATCTTAAAAAATGTTTTCAAGTGGATGCCTAGCCCACGACATATATGTATATAGCGTTATAGTATCATGGAATATATGGACATTTCATAGTGCTATTTTATTGTGTTGAAGAAACAAAATCTATAATATATAAATGCAATAGCATGAAAAAAAAATGATAAAAGCAATTCATATTATTCTTCTTAGATCCTCTCAATACAATCTTAGATCCTCTCGATATCAATCTCGAGTGTTAGTGGTTTAATGTCAAAGGTAATTAAAATCAGTCTTATTTGTAACGTATCTATAGTAGAGGCAGCAATAAAAATTATATAATACGTTCTGTAATTGTATGACGACTGAATCCAGTTCCAATCAAGCAGACTTCAAGTGAAAGTTACTAGACTATACTTTCTAAATCTTTCATGAGTATTTAGCAAAAGGCTTGCACATTAAGACTGTAAAAAATAATACGACTAGTGTCTGCCAGGGTCTTCGTTCGCGTAACCATGATTCACAACGGTAAAGGAACAGAACATCATAGAGATGCTCTGCCGTCCAAATATCACATATTTGTTGTTATAATTCATTCATTATGATAAATTAAACCGTTACGGTATCTAATATTACTATGTTACTATGAGCGACTACATATAAAAAAACACAGACCGAAAGAAAATTGTAATACTTAGGTATTGCTTAAAATTTTTAAGCAAAAACTTCGTTAAGTGTTGTAAGCACTTAGTGTGTTTGATTAAGCCGTTATACTCAACTAATGTGTTAAGTTAGCTCTAATCGACAATACTATACCAGCCTCATTTTCATCAAGTTTTCATTTCTATTGTTTGGTCACAAGTACACACTTTTTTTTATATGAAAATGCAATAAATTACCTGCTTTGGCGCCCAAACACCCTTGTAGTCGGGATTGTCGATCATGGGTGGCTCCCATTCGCCGTCCATCTCATCATCCCAGTCCTCGGGCTTGGTGGCATCAGGGTCAGGAATATGCTCTGGCTTGTCCCAATCTTCGGGCTTCGTGTCATCAGGATCGGGGATGGTGGCGCGGTCATCCCAGTCTTCGGGCTTCTTGGCTTCAGGGTCCTGCAATTATTATTATTATATAAAACTTATAGAATTACTGTCTGTCCGTGATTTCCTCCCGTGTGAAATTTATAGCCTATATTCTGATGTAGATGCTATATTAAGTGAAAAAGTAACAAACATACATAGGTACATTCATCCATCCAAACAAAATATTAATTAGTTAGACTTCATGACTAATTTTCTTTATATAACAATGTCACAAAAGTTATATTAGTTTGTTTTAGCGATCACGTAACATCATCATAAGTAAACAACAAAATATGGCGTATATTTTGTTGTTTATGATAGAACGATTCTCGCGAATGTTTTTTGTGTACCGTTGAATAACTACCCACCTTAATTTTCTTAGGCGGCAGGAAGTCCCAATCGGCCTCCAGCTCTCCAGATTCAACCTTCTCATTGTCGATGAGGACCTCGTAGGTGTTGTCAGGCTGGACGACCAATGTATACAAGTGGGTGTACACATCGTCCTTGCAACGGATGTCCTTCTTGATTAGATGATTCTTGCCCTTGTAGCTGAAGATCACATGCACCTGATGACAAAATTATACTGTTCTATAAACAATTTAACGTGTTACCTAGGCAGGAATGTACAAAATCATCTGCGGGGTACCTCTGTCTCATCCTATATCAGCAGCTAATTAAATTTATTTGAAAGATGTGATTTAAATGTCAGATAGATCAGATTTTCCTCACCGTTGCTTCTCAATACATTTATGAAAATATCATCTATGCCAGAAGGAATATAGACAGTTACAAAAGAGTTAGTGATTGCACTAATAAAAACTTACGTAACAATAACAAACTGATTTTACCTAAATGTCGTTTGGCTAAAGTTAGTAATTCGTTTTATGGCAATTGCGTAAGGTTTTACAATAAAATACCAGAGTCTCTTATAAATCTGCCAGAAAAAAGATTTAAATGTCAAATAAAACAGTTCCTTTGCAAAAAAGCTTACTATAAAATTGAAGAATTCGTTAACGATAATAATGTTTTTATAGAAAAACTTTAAATCTATAGCACTGACAATATTATCTGATTACATTAATAATGAGTGCGTAGCGACTTCTATGTTGATTATCGCATGCCTCTTGTTATACTGTAATTATTTATATAAAAAAAAACATTATTAAAAAGAGCAACACACAAGTTTCTTGCTCATTCTTCTTGTGATGAATCTGCATACCGAATGAGTGGTAGAATCAAAATAAGACTATTCAAAAGTGCTTGTAATGAGTTTATTTGAATAAAGATTATTTCTATTTCTAGATAAGGCCGTGAAATTACAGAGTATGGAAAATTAGAGGGGTGGCCATCTTATCTTGTCTTAGTTATTTTGTTTCTATTTTTATTTTATAATTTATTACTAACATAGTATAAGTTATGTTATTAAGCTGTTACTAACAAAATGGATCATGTTGTCTGAAATAAATTATTATTATTATTAGTGGTTTGATTTGGCAACCAAAGGACTCATAGCATAGTGTCTCTTTGATGTAAGCATATAGAATATTATGTAGCAACCATCATAAGTGGTACTGTTTTATATTGGTCTGGTTAGAACTCTAAGATGGAACTTATTTTGTCATTTTATGATCAATGTCTTGATAAGGGCAGGGGACTATTAGTAATGGGGTCTAGTAATGCCATTACTACTAATGTAACCAATGAGATCAACTACACGCGGCTGTTCTTAGCAACCATCGCTTGTTGATGATTACTAATGTTTCTTCAGAAAGGACATATCGCGTTTCGCATATCTACAGAAAGGACAGAAGCCAATTGCACTAGATCACACTCTGCCAACTCATTTGTGACCGTAAGAAAACAAAAGCGAATGGATAGAAAAAACTGATATATTATTTAATTTCCTAATGTGTTAATTCAAACTTAGTATGCACTTACGGCGTACTAATTAGACAGCTATTTATATTTATATGGTAGCGAGATAGCGAGACCACCATAGCCTGTTAAAAGGGTATTTCGCATAAATATTATAAGGTGGGACAAAATTCTCCGCACAACTTTCAATATCTGTGGCAATTTGTGCATTGATAAGTTATCGACAGAATGCCACAGATAAATAATCTCTGTCTGATAGTGTTCAGTTTCCATGTATTAAGGTAATTTTGTGCCGGCTCTTTTATCATAAACCAAAATATCAAAGTATAGTCTATGATTATTATTACTAGTAGGTACTTGTTATTATGAAATAATTTATTTATCAACCAACTTGCTCGTAATGTGGATCTAATGTTTTCGATATTGGGCAGCTCACAAAATATATGTGCGTTATAAACACACATACTGAAGTTATATTCCATAACACACTATTTGCTATTTTTTTATTAAATTTCGAACTGGCCGCCGAGCGGCGCTTGCTAGCAATCAGTGTGCTGTTTTAAAAAGGATAACGACAAGAAAGCGTCGAGTTTATGTAAAATTAATTTTGTTGAAATATTTTGTACGATATACGTGCGTATTTAACACACCCGGCTCTATTACGCACTCGCCTTAGCCTCGGGCTGTAATTTCCCGTGTGTTATAACCACCATAACTTATATTAAATATAAGTATATCGTAATATACGATTACTTAATGTTAAAACAATGACACATACTGAATAGGTAATAATTGGGAAGTAATTAATATCTTAATGTAGTGGATTTTAATTTGAATATAAATTGCTAGAAATTACAATAATGAATACTAGTGAAACATTAAGAGAAATCGGGTTATTAGCAAAATAGGTCTTTATATGAAAATCGGAAATTGTTAATTGCTGCTTTGTAGTCCAATTAAAATGGTTATACTGCCGGCTTTACATTGTAGACTGCTAACAAAGACTTAAAGTATAACAAAAATAGGCATCCGGACAAAGCCGTATAAAATTACAACTAAATTACCTATCCATATATCTTCACATCAGGTTTGGCAAGAGTTAGGTAGAGATGAATTTATTCATTAAATGAGTTTCTTGCCAGTTCTTATCAACTCTAGCAGCTATGCCAACCATATATTATGACGAGCAGAAGAAGCTAAACTGTCCCATATGATTTTACTTTGATTTTGAGAGAAAAGTAGATTTATGTAAAAACAATTATGTATATTTTAACAGCCAAGAATGAAATAGACACGGTAGTTAATCTTATACATTATAAAATATTATCAAAATCGATATAGATTTAGTGAAGATAATCTTTAACATTCAAAAATGTATATAGATCAATTTAGAACATTGTTTTAATTAGTTGATTAAAAATATAAGGACTGATGTGTAGAATAGTCCATGTTATATCTAATAAAATAATGATAAAGTGATAACGTCTGAAGATATCAAGATGGCACAATTTATAACAGATTTGTTGTACTATACGATATACTAAAAGGATAATTACTATGTAGGTACATAGAAGTTTATCAATATCAAGTACAATAAATAATTTGGTTAATCATTAAAAACTTTTTACTGTACAATATGTTTGCACATATAATTATACCATTTGAACAAATATGTATACAGTTATGACTTATTAATGACAATATGACCTTCATGTTTGCCTTTATTATTCATATATATTTTAATTTTATAATAAAGATAAACACTGTCTGGCTAGTCGTCAAAAACAAAAAGATATGTTTTTTATGACTACTGGATACAAGGAATAAAAATCATAGATTTCAGAAAGGTACAAAAAAACTTAGATTTATGAAAATACCCTCAATTTTTTTAAAGGAATATTACCAGTTAAAAGATGACAAAGGGGGTTTAGTATCCTGATTTATATACCAAAGTTGGACTTTTAATCTAGCAGATATTAAGAAAACCAGTCAGTAGAAAATATAAAATTGATACACATCAAATTTATATTTTCTACTGACTGGTTATAATCTGGTGATAGATATTGGTATCAAATAAAATTAATACTAAAAGTGGTGAAATAAAAAGTATGCATGTCTAGTGTTGTGTAACAAGTTTAAAGCTAACTACCCTGTCTGTATCTTGTTACAGTTATGATGGTATATAATAAAAGATATGTTAACAAAAACTACTTGAATTTACCATTAATTCTACAATCCATATCAATCTATCATAAATATTTATAGTAGATATGTAGCTGATATGATTATAAGTACATATATACTAAAACTAATTGTTCCATTTTCCATTGATAGTGATCAGAAATCAAGGATGTCACAACATGCAACCACAGTTACTGGTATTAATACAATACATATTGTATCTGCAAACATGCTTTCTATTTCAAAACATATCAGTGTATACAACACATGGGTACCTACCATTTGCTGTTAGTCATTTCAGTGGCTATTTTTAATTTAGTAATTTATTTATAATGACACTGTATTTTAGGTACTATTTAAATAAAGGATAACATTATGTTAAACATGTTAATGAAACAACATTTCAGGATTGTTCTAATAGGACAATTAATAGGCAAGTTCAGGAGTTTATATATTCTATTATAAACTATTGTAGGAAAGAGATGCTCATACATAATAATATATAATTATGTAAATAAAAGATCAGAATTTAGAAATAGTTTCATAATACACTTTATGTAATTTTGATAACCTGTTTGGAATCTGCAAATTTGGTTAAGGTTAAGAAAAAATAATCAAGAGAATTAGGGAAAATGGTCATTAAATGTCAAATTTATACAACACAACTCAAAATGTGTAATGATTGTTGAATAATAAAAATATGTTTTGCCTTCCTAAAAATCTCTTGTGACTAAGTTACATTATTTGATCAGAGAGATTGTCAACATTTGACAAACAAGATACTTGACTTGTCTACATTTTGCCAAGAATATTTGTATTTAATGTGTCAGGTGTTGATTATACTACTGGTATTCTTTATTACCAGAGAATTACTTAGAAATTCAAATTTCCAAGCAATCAAAAGTTACCTCTTAAAAATAAATTCTAACTCTCTACCTTTAGAGAGTCAGGGCACTAAACCATAAAATACTCATAAAATAATTTCTTACATAAAATATGTTTAGTTACGATTTTTTTATACAGATTGATAAATGAACTGTGGGTACACGCCCACTTACCCGTCATATATGCTGCTGGTGAAAAAAATAGTAATATCTTACCTTCTTGGTACCAGGACCACAGATGTCAGGGCCAAACATAATTTCATAAGGAGACTCTCCATGCATATCCTTCTGGTCCAGCTTGCAGTCGAAGATCTTGACATATCCACCACCGCAGTCGATCTCCTGCTCATGTTTCACAGAGAACTGAATAACTAGAGGCTTGTCTTTATTGTTGAAGGGCTTGAACTTGCGTGAGAGAGCGTAGAACCTCGCATCTTCCGAGGTCTTAAGACCTGAAGAGAATTATATTTGCTTAGACATAATTTTAACTTAAGACTTTATGACCAGAATACTGTCATTTTTTTTACACAAGTATACAAACCAATTACGATAATTACTTACCTAATTAGGGAGCAGGTACTACGTAATTACATAGTTACTTGAAGTGAGATTGAATTGAATTACTTTCTAATAAGAATTTTTTATCGTAACAGTATGTACATACTTTTTCCAGGAAATATTACAATAGAAATATATGACTACTTACCCTTATCTTCTTCGGGGTCATTGTAGAATTTTCCTTCTGTTAACTTGAATTTGCCGAATTCCTTACCGGGGTGTTCACTGTACACCCAACTACTTTCCCATGAATCTGTAACCAGAACGGAAACTATAATGTAATATAGCCCAAAATAAACCGGCAAAAGACATGGACAATCGATAGCACACGCGGCAAGCCGGCGCAACAATTACTTCAACATTTTACAGTAAAGTATTAACAAATAACGAAAGAATAAACTCTTACCATCTGGGAATTTCTCCTCGAAATACACTTCACAATTAATTGAGTAAATTGTCAGTAAACCGACAACAGTTAAAACTAGGGACTTCATTTTGATTCACAACAACAAACCTCAGAAACAAAGGCCCAGCCACGAATAAATTCATAAATTGGCGAATTTCCTATTATTACTTCGGTCGGTGTGACGCTTCGTATGTTGCTTATCTTGCTCACACTGCCAGCATACTGTTATAAATAAGAGAGATAGCAAGAAAATCATTAATGATAGTTTGGAATGAGTGAATGAAATAGCAATACTAGGAAGTGTGGAAGCGTACTTATAAGTGAAAGGGTGAGACTATAAAAAGATTTGACGTGCGCCGTACAAATACGACAGACAGATGGAAAGCTCTCATTGGACAAGCGATATCAAATAGGAATTGAACACACTGCTTAAAAATAGGTAATCAGAAGGCGCGAAAACTTAAATTAATGCTGCTGCTTCTTGTGAACTTATTATATAAAAAATAAGATATTTGTTTATTATGAAAATACTTATGTTTCTATCAATTATGTAGAGTAATTGTTTCTGCTGGGAGTTTTGTAATAATTATAATCAATAATATGCAATGTTAACTATTCTATTTTAATTAAATTAATCTACGGTTAAGAGCCAATGACCGCTTCCCATGACATAAAATGAAATGCAAGATAGTAAAACCCAATAGTAGAAAAGAAACAGCGTATAGTTACGTGGATAAAGCCTGAAGCCTGATTCTGACGGCTCGTGTACCTTGACTTACAATATTTTTTCATTGTTTTGTTGGACTTGTTACACATACTTGAATAAATGAGTGACGTATGAAACTGAAAGTATTTTTATTAACTGAGTTCACCGTATATTTTCATGACATTCATATTTACTTACAATGTGTATTCTTGCAAATATTCACTTTGTTCAGCTGAATATTGATAACTTGCGTCTACTTCAGACAGTACGCTACAGCGAAAGATATCTTTCTAACAATTGTCATTTGAAAGAAATTAAAATCTATAATTCGGCAGTTATTCGTAGGTACGGACCATTTCATACTTGCAAATGCGAACTTGCGAGCTGCATCTGCCATAAACATAGAGTTATCTGTTAGGCCTCAGTTGAATTTCATTACGACGATGAAAATAATAAATATAGACAACGTATGTTCTATCTATTAATATATTCATAACTGAAGGTACCTACATTCCGACTAATAGGTAAAACGAAAGAACAATAGATATATAATCTGTATATTTTTCTGCATATTCATAATTTCGGAATTTCATTTTGTGGTAAGATAAGATTTGGCAACCAGTCGGATCGAATCAGCATACCTACCTATTGACACGAGCAAATAATTGTTTCAAAGGCATTCTAGTTCTAATTTCTACCTACAAACAGGATCCAACTAGAGACTGCAGTTTGTAGGTGATAATGATAATATGAAATAACATGAAACATGTTGAATTTTATTAGAACTTGTATATCGAATACCTTAAACAGTATGTAATGGTTGATTGACTTAATTAACTGATAATGCCGGCAACGCACCTAATTTTTTCCTGTTATTTGATAAAACTTATACCTACATTGTAACTAACTATTAATTATTTTAATCGTTATTACTTACATAAGTTTAACTTTGAAACCCAATTACTTAGATGAAATAATTTTATGAGAACTAACCTACATTTCGGCCTCGATGTCTAACTAGCGATTTAGCACAATTTTCTTACGATGGTTGTGGGTTCGATTCCTCACACGATGCCAACTTTTGTATTCATAGATAGTATCGCTTATGTTAGGTGTTTAGATTCTGGTCTTAGGTTAGGTGTATTTTTTGTATGTATTTACAAAAAATGTACCTACTTAAATAGGTACATTTCTATATCTACGTTGCTTATAATACTCATAGTACTCTGCTTAGATCTGGACTAGACGGCGTTGTTATTTTTTTAACGAATGTAGTAGTTGTAGAAAAATGCATATTGTGCATCTAAGATAATATGAGCATACTTTACTTACGTAAGTTTTAATAATTTGCATAGTGTTATTTATAACAGAGGGCGAGATTCATTGATTTTAAATAAGTATTTCGATTAAGTAGCGTTTGTTTAAGTAATGTTTATACCTACCTATGAGGTACGTATGTTTAATTTCAATGTATTGTTATGTATAATTATACCTAATTTGTACCTATTTATTATTAATAGATATTAACTGACATTATAATAATACTCAATTATTCTTCATGTCAGGGATGTTGCAGTGTAGACAGAGAATATAAATAAAAGGGTAAGGTAAAAGTGTACCACCAGTCTTGCCAACTAAAAACTATAAGGCGTTCCTATTGCTGTCTCTCTTCACCTTTTATCTGGGTTACGGGAATACACGAGGAGTTTTCCGCAACCCCGACGGCAAGATATACACAGGTAGTTTCTAGAATTTCCCAAAGAATTTAGTCGCAACATCAGCAAGGTTTTAGTTTAATCTTTATAAGAGAATTAATAAAAATATTTTTTCAACAATGGTTTTATTTATCATGATAACCTGTAAAACATGAGATTAAAGCGAGAAATCTGCTTTGAAATCGTAGCCGTCCTTTTTCGGGGCAGACGTTAGAGTTACATTTTCAAGTACACCAGCTAGATCGACAGCTTTCTTTTCATTCCTTACTTTCTTCTTTTTGTCCTTTTTGAACTGCATTTTTTTCATTCTATTCTGCTTGGTGTTGCCTTCCAAAAGCATTTCAGGATCACCTTTTGTGCGTTCATTCGATTTCTTGTTTTTATCTAATTTCGACCTTATATTCAGTGCCTTAGGAAGTAGACTAGATTCATCTTCGTCGACTTGCATACTTTCTTCTAGAAGTGTAACAGGACCGGTACTTGTTATCTAGAAAATAATATTAATGAATGAATGAAAACTCTTTACTGTCCTTCTCACAAAAAATATACTTACATACACTATTATACACAAAAGGTAAAAACATACAACAATAAACAAGACAAAGAGGAAACAACGGGCGACCTTATCGCTAACAATCTCTTGCAGGCCATGTTTTATCTTCCATAGTTACAAAATATTTATTTTGTAAATAAATTAGATTCAGGAATCTTAACGTCTCTTTGGTACAGACTTTACAACATTGAATAGTCCGAGTCACGCATCATCACGTGATAAAAAAGAATACCAATGAAAGGGTGGAAATGGCTAAAATATATCTAACCGAAGGAAATATGCGCAGATGTGGGACCAATGCGGAGGAGTAAGATGTCATCGAAGAGAATAAGAGATATTCTGTAATTTCACGATCTTATCTCATCCTTCAACCAAAACACATCTTTTTTTTTGTAAAGATTGAATAAAACATACCGAGTATCAGACAACAACTGTTTAATAAACGTAATACGAACTACCTTCAAGTACATTACATCTTTCCCGTTAAAATTAATTCAATCTTACATTTTTATTGGGGGCTTTGGGCTATTGTCAGGTGCTTGTACCTGTAGCACTGCGACCTACATAGATCTATTGTGTTCGCCCAATTTCAGAGTTCGCTACCTTATATACAAAGTAAACAGCAATAGTTGCGACAGGGTTCACGCTAACGAATTTATATAGTTATAGCATTTCAATTGCATTTATTCTTTTTAAACCTTTATGGGTATTTGAAATTAAAATATACCTTAACTCCTTCCGCATCTGTCCTGTGGGCATCGAGCTGGCCCATAGCTTCCGTTTCCATCGCCTCGAACGAGTTGATGTCGAACTCCTTAGCTATCTCAGTGACGATCTTCGCTTCCACATGTACCTCTGTATCTAAAGTTTCGGGCGGTTCTGTGAAGTACCGCACCTGTAGAAGAATACAGACCATAAAAATACAAAATAATGATAATATGCTGTAATAGTATCTTACTAATATTATAAACACGGGAGTTTGTGAGTGTTGATGGATCGATGGATAGTTACTATCTCATGCAGAAACTACTGAATGGACTTTACTTAAACTTCATAATTATATAACTTATAGAGAATAGTATTTAATAAATAGGTTATGAATTTCATGCGGGTGAAATATTTTGAAAGCGCCAAATTAAATATATTTTTCTTTCTTTCGTTATATTATTATTCTAAAACTATGTGACTTACCTTTCCAATATTCCAATCATTGAGTAAGATTCTAGCAGCTGCCTCTTGATCTGGCACGCCGCCTTTCCTGAACCTACCCATCCGTGAGGCTACACTCGCAAAGAATTCCTGTAAGTACAGTTGAATTAAATGTGATATAATATAATAATATTTCAGGACAAATTCACACAGCGCCATCTAGTCACAAGCTAAGCAGAGTTTGTGTTATACTTTTGTAAATATAGCCTACATAATATATTCATGAATATAAATGATTGTACCGTGCGAGGTATAGTAGGTTATAGGATAGTAATAAAAATATGTGCTGAAACCCATAAAAAACGTACTTTATCGAATTAGTAGCACTTTATCGCAAAACAGTCAACACTAGGCTTCAAAGCTATATCCAGACTCCATTCAATGCCTGATGATGCCTCGTTCAGAGATGAAACACGTGTCGCAATATGGGTATAGACTCAAAAACGGTCGGTATTTGGTCACCATTAGAGAAGGTCGTAACGGTACTCAAGGTTCCGCAATGAAAGTTTGTAGTCTCACATATGGTAATTGTAGCAGAATTAAACAAAATAATATAAATTCACTAGCTGATCCTGCAAAGGTTGTTTTGCCATAAAAATTAAATCACTATTTTAAAAATAGGGGTTGACGGTAAAAATTTAAGTCTGTATGTATTTTTAATGCCCCATTACCAAAAAATTTTTTGGTGCGTCACCCTTAACACTTAGGGTTATAAAAATTAGTTATAGACCTATTCTTATCAAAATCGGTCAAGCCGATTCGGAGGAGTATAAACCCGAAACCTGTGACACGGGAATTTTATATATTAGATAAAGTAGTGATTTATCTAGATATTCTTAGTGCCTACCTGTGGTTTACTAAAATCCGGTATACTATACAGATCTATGAGGGTCTGTTTATTGGCACGCTGCAGTATAGCTGTGGCCGGTGTAACTGGGTCCTTGAGACTGCCCACACGGACGGCGTTTTTTAAGGCCACTGATGCATCACCTTCAGATCCCGAGTGGAAGACAATACCAGGACTGTCGAGGATCTTGATCTTCGAGTCTAGTTGAACTGTCTGCATTTGTCTGGAAATATATGTATATATTTTAAAAGTAGTTCCGCAGCAAAACCTGCGATAGAGATCGGTAGAGTAACTAGAGTAATTGAACTGTCTAAATTTGTATGGTTCTATATGTTATAAACTAGATTATTGAGCACCACCATTTGGTTTAGGTATGGTATATAGCTTATGTAATTTTTATTATTTGATAAGTAATATTTGAGTTTATCCAATACTAACGAACAAATAAAGAAACATGCAAAAATCAAAACACTCTTTATTATATCGAGCATGACTGTTATTTGATAGATAAATTTTTCCATGTAGATACATTAGTTTTATAGTTTTCGTATGTACAATTATTGCAATTTTAATCTAATGGCCTTTAATTCAATTCAATTAAAAGCAATATTTCTCATAATGTGTTAAAAAACCACGTTCTTTAATTTAACTGAAATTAATTATTAATTAATTATGTTAATTGATAAAGATACTACTTAATTATTATTTTGTCGTTTCTATAAAAGGTTTAAAATTATAATGAAACTAAACTTTTGTAATTCGACTATTACTACTTATTATATCAAATACTTGTAAGTGCAATAGAATAATTATAATATAATCAGTTAAAAAACTAGGCCTCTTGTCTGTACTGAAGAATTTTTGCCAGTATTATATATTATAGGTTTTCAACCTCCTTCTTAGACCTACAATTCGAATTGGCAGTTTTATATATTCGTTTATCCATATTTAAAATATAAGAGTTCTTTATATACATTTTGTTTTATACATTTCTGTCACTTTTATACTCTCCTATAATAAACGTCTTTCCTAAAATAACAAGCATCTCTCTCTTCTTTTGGAGTTAAATAAAATAAAACTTACTTGGTAACTCCTGGGGCACTGCCGACATTACAAGCCTTGGACCTGTTAAGACTGTTGATGATTGAACTCTTGCCGACATTAGGCAGACCCACCACTCCAACTGTGATCGAAGTCTTTATACCTTTATTACGGCAGTAGTTGCCTAGTAAACTCATCAGGAGTTCAGCCCCAACACATGCTGAGCCTGCAAATATTATTATTAATTATAAGTATTGTATTAGCTTTATATTTTGTTTATTTTATTCAATTTTAGTGAATTATACAGTGTATATTATTATAACCGCGAAATGACTACATTCGCGGATTGAACACCCTTCATTATCCATAGTACATAAATCTATTGAAACATGAAAGTGCAAAGTATTTTATTGCCAGTGTTGAAACATAGACTAAAATTTATTATGTTGTTTTCTTTATAAAACAACTGTATACAGCAGATTTGTTCTCATAGTAGTTATTTGCGATCGCAAATAGCCAAATAATACGTTTAAAAATAAAAATTTTAAATTTAAATATCGAAACACACATGGAACATTGATATTGTTTTGTTTTACTTTATATACATTTTTAATTTCTTCTTGAACATTCCGTGGCGCCGCTATTAAATTCAATGTACAATAAATTCTAATCATTTTTTATTTAATCATTATAACAACTTATATATAGCAATATTCCTCCAGCAAACAGTAGTTTTATAAACGCCAATCCCATGTTCATTATATAGTAAAATAAATATTTTACCTTTCATTTCCTTCTCTTTGACAATGTGCTTCATCTTTTTCCTGCCCAGATTGTGCTGTTGGTCCTGTGTTGAGGCTTTGAATGGAACAGCTGGGGCAGACCTGCGCAGGTATTTAAGCCAACTTGTTAGATTATTGCGTGGTACTAAGTCAGCCTTGTTCAATACTAGAACTAGTCTCTTTCCCGATTCTCTCACTGCATCCTCTACTTGAGCACACCTTGTACCTAATTAAGAATATCACATAATATAATAATAATGGAAATAACAATAATGACAATAACTAGAGACTCTAGTTCCAAGCTCAGCAAATCTTGTGTTATTTATACTAGACAACTGTTATATATACATAAATATTTTTTTTGTAAATACATACATAATATACATATAAAAAACAGTAGAAAATAAGTAACTTGCATTAGTAGAATTATTTTCCACAGCTGTTTTAGATTTTGTGACATTACATTTGAGTTTTATTATTTTTACACAAATTTTAATTATATGACCAACAGGAAGAGGAGATGGATGAACTGTGTGAAAAATAATATGGTAAGAAAGGGAATAAATAATGAGATGACTGTGAATAGGGAAGAATGGAAGAAAAAACATTATGCCGACCCCAAATAAATGGGATAAGGAGAAGCAGATGATGATGGCTAGCTGTGACAGAGCAGAAAGGTGTAAATATTACAAAAATTGGCGACATAATTTATAGATGGCTACTAAGCAAATGAGATGTCATATAAGGCTTTAGTATTTCATAGGCTTTTTCTGAATTGCTTCTTTTGCACTCCACATCGGGACAATTACATATAACATTGACCTGAGATTTAATGTTTGTTACCAACCTAGAGGATCCCTTGCATCTACCACCTCTAGAATAACTTCAGCTTCTGATATGACCTTTTTGAACTCTCTGTAATATGTCTTGAGCGAGTTCTCCTGTCTCCTATCTTTGCCAAATTGAATTGTATCAGTTTCATTTTCATTGCCTTTGAATGCATCATGAACTTTTCCTCTTGCTTCAGCATTTGCTACCTGAAATTATAAGATAATTAACTTTATTTTTCCTCAAATAATAAGCTATTACAATTGTTGCATATATTAAAATTTAGAAGTAATAATCAAGACAAAATAGTCTATAACTCAGAGAGGGCAGTACTCTTTGCTAATCTGTATATAGGCTTTATTAGTAAATTATTAAATTAAAAAAATAATATGTACTAAAGACCTAACTATTATGTAGACCTAACTACCTTGGAGGGGTGAAAAGAAAAGGATTTATTTTTATGACATACATTCTACCCTGTTTACATAAACAGTAATTTTCTTTTGTATAGATGTACAAGTTATTTATATTTTGTGTGAGAAAAAGTGGCATACCAATGTATCCATGCTGACTTTACTATTCTTCTTTTCTTCCATCTTCTTTTGTTTTTCTAACTTTGCTATATCTTTTCTTTTTTGTCTTTCCTCTTCTTTATGCTTTTTAATAGCCTCAACCTCTTTCAATATATCCTCTTTAAATGGACATACATTTGGAATCTGAACAGGCTTAGGTTTCTTTGATTTTGGATTTTTCTTTGCTTCTTTTTTTAATTTACGATTATGTTCCTTTACTTTTTTCTCTATTTTGTAACGCAGGCGAGCTGGCTGTCTCTTTGATGGTTTCTCTGTTATTAAATAAGTAAAATAAATTTATTATTACTTCTTAAGATTACTCGATACCTTATCCAATAACATAGAAAACTAAATAATATTGTAAATTTGTCCGTTTATACAGATATTTGATTGAATCAACCTTGCCTAAACAAATAAATGTATTTGCATGAAATTTATTTCATCGTTGGACCTTACATAGAGTACTCCAAATATTTAACATTACTTACTTTGGGACACGGGCTACATAAAAATAATTCTTCATCTCAATATTTATTTTTAGTTCAAAGACCACAAAATTAGGTTATAATATATGTGACAAAATGGTATAATATTACTTACTCAATTTAAACTTAGCCATGTCTTTCTACCAGTGAAATAAGAAGAACGTAAAAGTAACTATTTATAACTATATATGTGTTTTTATCATTAAGATTCAAAACAACATGTACTTTAAGGTTATAATAGTTTTAATAAATACAAAAATTCAAAAATTCAAGATCACATTTCTTTGACAGTGACTTCAGTTTTAACAGTTCAGTAAACGTATTGACAGTTTGATTGACATATTGAAATATTTTTTTTGTTCTGTTTATCCTTTAATGGAAAGGCAAAGGGATCTGCGTCCAAACAGCCATATCTGCTATTGATATGATATTCTTAATTTATTGTATACTAGCTGTTCCCGCGACTTCGTCTGCGTGGAAATTAACTTTATTTTTCTAAAATAAAAGAATTTTATTTTTTGTAAAATATAATTAGCCTAAGTTACTCCATATTACAACAGCTACCTGCCAAAAAAAGTCCTTTCAAAGTCGGTCCAGCCGTTTCAGAGATTAGCGGAACCTCTTTAGAGTATTATGTTTCTTGGCAGGAACAAACAGACCGACAGATAGACACAGAAATTGTAAAAAATGTTATTTTGGTGTATGTACCGTATTTATATTCATATGCATATAGTAAAAAACGGTTATTTCAATATAACAAACACACAATATTACATCGGAACACATCCGTAAATCGCCAAAACTTCCTTACACAATGAATCCCCATCCGGAACAATCCCCAAAATCCACCACTGCTAAAAGCGTTATTGACTTTAATTAAAAAAAAAATATTCCGAACATCTCATAAGAAGACGAGTCTAAAGGAATAATAATAATTAAAACCTCTTTTCTCACCCGAATTAACTTTAAAATAAAAACACGCTAATTAAAGCAACCTCATTCCAAGTACCTAGTGTTAGTTAAGTAGATATGCTTACACTTGACCATTTTACTTTATACCGATCTACCTATATAATTCTTACTAGTACTGTGATTATATATTTCAACAAGCTAAAATGCATAAATATTTAGCTTGATTTAGATTATTATGACCATTATATATACCTCCATTGATAATTTAAATATCTACCCAAGTACCCAGTTTAGGTACCTACCTAATATGTAAATAGTGAGCCTAAGCACTTGCTAAACAAATCACGTTCATTCATTCATGGAGGTAGGTTAACGTTTTCGTGAATGAGCTGCCTATAGGTAAAGCGAGGGGGCTGGCTGCCATTGCCATATGACGCTTTGTTCGCGGCTGCAGCTGCCCCTGACTCGCAAAACGGCCATTTGTACCTGCACAGGTAACAGAAGCAACAGGTCATTTCACCGGCGCGGGGAGCGCCGCTACCGGCCCGGCCCGCAGCGCACGATGTAAGCTTCGTTCGCTGCTCAGTCGCGCTCTGTATATCGCTGTGATAACACAAACGACCGTACTTGTTTGAATATAAACACGCGCTACTTTCCCGCGACGTATACATCACCGTGCCGAGTGATGTACGCGAGTGTACCCAGTCTGTGTAAATTTCTTGTTAACAGCCATTCGTGACAGTGCAAATGTCGCCAAGCTTGGAAGAAATCATGTTCAATAGGAACACAAACCTGTCGGCGCGCCGGCCACTGTTGGTGGACGCGCAAAAGCCTCTTGTAGTCCCTCCACGCGTGCCTCCTCGCGACACTGGACCACAGCGGCTGTTGCACGCATCTAGGAACCAACCCACCGACTATCCCTACGAATACAGACCGGATTACTGGAAGCCTTCGAATGTCGAACTCGAGAAACGATTGCAAGAGACGCGAGCTCGCGAGAAAGTCGGTTACTTTCAAGACAAAGTTACACCCCCCGATTTGAGCTTGGACCGCAGAGAAGCTGAACTGATATTTAAATTCGACCCTCACGCTTCTGCGGAGTATCTGTCGAGTCAGTATCGAGCCCCCACGGTGCACTATGCGAAACCACCGACGCCAGCAAACGGGTTTACTAACCGTCTACCAGAGAGAGACGGTCCCTTTGTTTTCGGCGTACATAGTCCAAGCCAATTTCCGATATCTCGACGGGATGACGACGACTATGATTACTCTGAGGTGGCGGAAACGAATCGCCGTCCTGTTGTTAGAGACGATGTGTCCGAAGACTTAAATTGCTGTGATAGAGTGAACGAGTGGACAGTACGGGATAAGAAAAGCAGAAAATCATTAAACAGGATGTTTCAAATAAGAGATAGACGAAAGTTAAAAAGTGGGAAAAAGGACAAGATAAAGTGTGTGTTAGTTGGTGATGGGGCAGTGGGGAAAAGCTCATTGATAGCTGCATACGCGCAAGATACATTCCGAGAAGACTATCTGCCGACTGCACATGACACTTTTAATGGTAAGTTTATATTATAAGTGTCAAAAATATTATATAAGCTGAGTAAAAAAGGTTTTTTGTAGTCACAGAATACGTATAACTAAGAATAAGAGCAAGAATAAGTCCTAAACAAAGAATGTAGTTGTAGATACACTTATTACTACTTAGTACAAGCGTAAAATTATGGATGTAAATGGTAATAAGTTACCTTATGTGACTTATCGCAAACGACCCTGATCCATAAGATACCTATGTAATTACCGTGATTGCAACACAAATCATCATTAGCCATTAGATAACGCCAGCAGGAAAACGTACTTACGCGCCTATTATCAGGCGCCACAAAAGATTCTAAGCAGTTTGGGTACGGCTATTGGTGCTAATTACTATATAATCAATATAAAATTAGGTAGAGTTCTATTAAAAATTGAAAAGATGTACTTGCTTATTATTAAAAACTCAGAAACAAATTATTAATAGAGAAAACTTAGTAATTTGTTAACTATGCAATATCTGACGGCTTCGTGGTTCTAGCGGTTTAGCACACCGCCTTGCTTTCGATGATCGCGGATTCGCTTCTCGCATGATGCTAAAAAATAAAGTACCTACTCTGTCAGTGACAAATTTCTAGTGAGAAACAATCTCGAAAAATAATTTATTTAACTGTTACCAAAGTTTATTTCATATAATATGCCATTATGTCATGTCTAAGAGATAACATCATTACTTTGGGCAGAATTGGCTTATCATCAGAATAGACATAGGCTAGAAATTTCATGCGGGTGAACTGCGAGCACAGCTAGTTTTAAAATATTGTTATAAGGGAAAAAAATCCCTTATGGATGATAATGGAATGGTGCGTTAGCGCAGGTGGGACCTGCGCTAACGGTTTACGCTGGCGGGGCAGCAGTGGAGGATGATAAGATGAGCATGAGTTAAGGTCAGTTAGTCCATCGTGACAAATTCACCAGGAATTTATTACGACAGTTTCCAGGGGGAACCGCGTGGAGGTCAACCTGACATGGTAAACTGCTAGTAATGGGGTCACGAGTCCACATTACTAGCAATCCCCTTCTCCCCATTATAAGGGATTACATTAGTTATGAGATAAGAGTAGTAAGGATCAAAGGTATACAGATACGTTGACATTTTCTATATATCTGGCTAGAAAGTATTTCAACATTTAAATCAACAAATCTATAGTGTTTTTTTTTTTTCAATTGGCATTGTGTCTATAATTCCAAACCCTCACAACCGGGAGTCAACGACACTCCAGCGTTGTCTCCCGTTCAGTCCCAGTTAATTTCTATGCCTTATCAACAAAAGGAACTCGTTTTAACGCACGTAACAATAACTCGGCGGCCAGTTGCTTTACCTTAAATTCCATTTACGCTTTCTCAACTTTAATTTATAAATTGCTGTAAGATTTTAATTTTTACGTAATGTCATTTTAATTGTAACAAACTTTTGTGACACAGATGTAGATTGTTGTTACAAGTACCTAAGTTATAATCTAACAGATTGGCGATTACAGTTGAAGTTTTTTATTTAAGAACTTTATTTAAAGGTCTTGGTTAGCCTGAAAATTGTAATCTTGTAAAATGTAAATTGAATATGTTATAAAGTTAGTTATTGTATTATATGTGAATCAACCGACGAATGTGACCTAACTACAATAATATGTCTTACTGACTCATGTACTTTGTTTGATTCTATGTTTAAACCAGTGGAAATGACAAACAAGTTTCAAATTGATTTACTGGTACCTTCAATACAAAGCATTGTTAAACAGCAGTCTATTTAAAAGTGATTTTAAACTGCATAGCATGCGTATTTGTGGATTGAGTGATTTTGACTTCAGCCGTCACATTCATCGTAAATCATTACATAGCTAACGATTTCGATTTCATTTCACGAAGTTCTCTTTTTTCTACTATTTACCTGCCTTCCAAGAGTCCCAAATTTTACTTATGTAAGTATATAGTAAAGTAGTACCTATACTATAAAAGTCTGACAGAGTTGATAGAAATAATGAAACGACCAGTAGGTCGTTCTTTTCTGATCATCTTTTTTACTTCCAATACTAGGTACATGTGCATATCATATGTTTGTAATAAATTGTGAAATTTTCCTATTCACTTCCATAAAATATGGATAATGAAATTTTTGAGCGAGATAAAAATGAGCTACTCATATTTATCGTCCATTTCCTTCTTGATTCATCATCGTTGCAAATACTGATTCTGATAATGATTCTTTATCTAAAGACGCAGATAATTTTGTGCATTTGAGATCGAGAGAGATTGATTTTTTTGTAGTAAGCCAAAGTTCTTATCTTGAGGAAAACTGGAGTTAAATCTATGTTGAATTGAAGGCATTTCTTGCTTCAATTAATTTTGTCAGTTGTAGATAACAAATATTTATTAAATGATAGGAATATTTATAAAGGAGGTGTTACATATGAATTTGGATGATTATAAGGACAGAGAAAGGCCGAAAAAGAGATGCATAGACTGTGTGAAAGATGATATAGTAAGAAAGGGAGTAAATAATAAGATAACTGCGAAGAGGGATAAAAGGAATAGAAAAATATATTACGCCGGCTCCAAATAAATCGAATAAGGAAGAAGTAGATGATGAGGAATACGCTATCAAAATTGTAAATTGATCGGTCATAATTATAAGGTGGAATTATACTATATAATTAGTTTATAAATTTCTACTTTTGCTAAAATAGATGTTTGAAAGGAATTAGTTTTTTATATAAATGGACTGATGACAATGCCGATTCTATCTGGAAAAATAACCGTAAGGTAAATTTTATTTGATCACATGAGTATACCTACTCAAAAATGATCCCTGGGTTGATATTATAACCTTTTTCTATAGTTATCGGTCATATGTTCTGATACCTACAAATATGTTTGCAGATATATGTGCTTCAAACTTAAATTTTTGGTAATATCATGCTAAAATTGTCTATCTGTGTACATTATGCATGACGCATAACTATATCAATTTATTATTTTGTCAAGGTATAGAGTACCGATATTGATAGTATGTGTAGTAAATACAAATATTACTGTGTCAAATATGGATTTCTGATACGGCAACACTCTGTCTGTTTTTTTTATGGATACGTATAGTGTAGTGCAGCTATCTGCGTTAACAGTATACGGGCAGGTTGATAGAAAGATGATATCAGATTAAATAGCCCACCGTGGTCAATTCAGACATTAAAAACTGTGGTTGGGAGGAGAGATCGCCTGAATGTTTCTATTACTGATCTCTATTCTAGTCCCTATTACTAATATTTATTTCCTTTCAAACCGTCCCCTATTTTTGCTATAAGAAAAACATATATTAAACAAAATTAACTATCGAAAAATTTAAATTACAATATTTTTAGTCTATTATCATAAATCGAATCTACATAGATTCGTAAACTTGTATGTAGTAGAATATATTCATATCACGATTAAACAAACACTCACAGGATAATAAATTAGAAAAAATATTAAAAAAAAAACATTCCCAGCATAGTTCCACGTCTATTTCGGGTCAAAGCCCCTATTTAATATGTGCTTACTATGTTCGAGAGTAATTAATATTGTGTTACACCGTCATAGACTGCATACAAAATACATGTTCAGTTTTATTGTGACTGTTTACATCCTTTATTAATCAATTAGTATTCACAAGTTTGTATACGTTGTTTATAAGGACAGATAAATAGACTTGTATTTTCAATTGTCTGGCAAAATGAGCAGGTTAGCAGACGGGCAGTATTTTTTATTTATAGACAGATGTTTCAGATGTAATGATGTTACAGAATATTATGATTAAAAAGTTTATTCATAAAAATTATTGGATTAATTGCTGGCTTTCTTTAAAAAAAAATGCCTTGGGTAATAAATATATGGGAGTTAAAATATTAAGTAATCATTGAGATACCTACACTTTGTATTTTGTGTTTTATTTATTTCTAAGCAACTTGCTTTGTAAGCTGTATTTCCGTTTGTAGGGTGGAATGCAGCAGTAAAATTATAAATCAAAACTAATTTATTCATGTAGGACATTTTAGCCGCTTATGATCACCAAGTTTTTAGTCATTTTGAAAACCAGTGATATCTTCTCATGCGTTGGCAAGGCACTACGTTCATGTACTACAATTATATATAAAGATTGTTTCTTTCCATCAGGTATGCCGTCAGATTATCGGTTATTCCAGTAATACAAAATAGTATACTATAGTATAATACCTATAGTTAAATAATACTTAAAGGCAGAATGGAAGGCAGAACTTTGTTTAGAACCGCGGAAGAATAGAGTACCGAACAAAAGTTAAACCCCTTTAACGGTATTATAACTTCTTTGTGATTCCGCAAAACAGCGAAAATATATATCGTACCACAGCAGGATAACGCCGTATGCAGGATAAATAATTTAAAATATAAAAAAACACCGATTAATAATACTTATTATACAGGTAAATAACGAAAATATAGGTATTTTTTTTAAAAGAATTTATGTTACAATGCAGATATATTCTTGATTATTTCAGGATAGGCCTACTCTAGTGAGCAAGTCATTTATATGCGTTACTGACATAAACACAAGAACATTTACTCCATGACATGGTGATTTCAACAAGCAGCGGTCTGATATGTCTTATTAGTAGGCATGAAATGATTTATTACCTACGAAACATTTATTTAATGTTTAGCTACCGTTTACTTTAATACTTTCGTTAAAAAACACTTAACAAATATGTAGCCTACATATTAAAAATATTTTAAATTTAAATTCAAAGATATATAATATCCTACTAAAAAGCCTCGGTGAGAGCTTTGGATATCTGTACAAGTTTCGACCTAATTGGGACGCCAGATTCACAAGGAATGACTGTTCTTAACTTTAAAATGCAATTATAAATAATATTGCAATGATCCTTGTGATTATAAAGAAAGTTTATGATTACTGCGAGTGTAGGGATCATTGTTAACATTTGTATATATTTA